TTCTGTTTTTATTGGTATCGAAAATTTATGTAGAGGTTCAGATGAGAGTATTTCAAAATCTCCATAATAAATTGATTCTAAAGCTTCAATTTCATTTTTTTGCTCTTCCTGATAATCCATAATTAATTATAAAGAATAAAGACTAGATTACTTTTATATTAGTAGGATCTAATATTTGGTATTAGAACCTATTTGTGGCAGCTATAAAAATATTTTTTAAGTGAGGACAAATGTGAAATTTGTTTTTTATTTTTCTATGAACTTTTTTACCACCTTAATAACAGTTGTCTTACTTCTACTTAACCTAGAATGATATGTGTCCAACTTAACACGTATGTGTGCTAATATCTTCTTTTTTATTTCGATCACATGCCTACTCCACAGCAAATCAAACTGAATTTAAATTTAACTGTTTAATTTAATTTAAATTTACAGAAAGAATAGTTTTTTTTTATATAATTAGTTTGAAATATTGGCTGTCATTATTGTAAAAATAAAAACTTTTGTACATACGATTTATTTGTTTATTGTATATTGACCATTTGCAAAACAACTGACAATCCGGTTCAGAAACCTTTTGGTTTTGCATTCAAAATTATATTTAAATTTGTAATTGAAGGTTTTTAGACCGTGCAAATATTTAAATATGGCTGATGATGGACCGAGAATGCTTTTAAATTTTTTAATCCTTTATTTAAATGAAACGTACCAATTAGGTACATTTTTTTAATTAAAAAATGCGAAAAATGTTAAATTTAATGTTACTTATATATCTATCACAATTTTATACCCATTGTTTTCATTGATTAAACAATTCCAATAGTAACGAAAAATTAATAATGATATTGATATTAGAAAATCATAAAAAAATAAAAACTGTCTAAAAAAATAGTAAATTGACAAACTTTTAGTTTCAAAGAATAGACCTATTTAAAAGAAAAATTTAGAATGTTTACAGTTTAGACTGTTTAGAATCATGCAAAATAAAATGTGCGACATAATAATCAAAACCAGACGCCCCCAAAAAATGCCAATATTAAATTATTGCGATCTTTGCGAGTATAAAATTAGAAACATCTCTAAATCAGACATGCGCTCTCACGATGTATTATTGGTTCAGAATTCGTTCAGAATCAGTTCTTAAAATGTATGTAGGAAGAAACCAATAAATTATCATTTAATTATTGACTTTTGTTCAAAGATCAATCCATTACCTAACGGTATCCATAACGGTAGAGGTGGTATCTATATTCTTATACAGGCACTGTTAACAGCTTCGCTGTTATTTCTGGAAATACTGACAAAATTACTAATTACTTATATATTTATAAATACGATATAAATATATATACTATATACAAGATTAGATTAGTCACCCACTTACAAGCTAAGAATAACTAACACGTTCTTTAAACATAAAAAGCAAATTATTCTAGAAAAACAACAGGGATTTTGGATCAGAAGATCTCCGCGAATATAATTTTCATAATAAGGTAGATATTAGAAAAATCTCTCTAGATTATAATAAACCGGTATATATATATGCGTTCGATAGGCTTGAAAAGAGCTTTTGAGAGGGTAAGAATTGGAGATTTCCAGGAAGGGCGATGTTCCTTAAGATCTCAAATCATATCCTCCTCGAGCCCAAACATGAATTGCAGTGATTTTTTTGTTGCCAATCAAAAGAATGTTACAATTTGGGATTACTAATCATAAAAAACAAAAAATAAAAAAACCCTTTTGGTTTTTTCAAAAATTGTAGTATTACTATAGATAGATACTTTGGGTCTGTACTGACAATAAAAAAAATTAATATTCACTTATTATTTTTATTGATGAAATTTAGTAAAACAATTTCTATTGACACTACAACATAAAAACAACTTGCAACGGGCACATTTGACAAACGTCGAAACATCGAAAAATACATCGACAAAATTGTTGTCGATGTATTTATTGAAGTAGTCGTTGATATTGGGCAAATTGTGGTGTAAAATGTGTTCTCTTCCATTCTTTCCTGTCTTTTTTAGGAATAGAATTTGCCGTGTTTACTCTCCTTTAAAAGTCGGGTTGCCAAGAGCATGTCATCATCCGAATCTTCGTTTTGATATGTCACTGATTTCAGCGTGATTGTCACTTCTTTCTTCCTCACTTTGAATAATTATTTCATTGTCATCCAGATTTCTAGGTTCATTCCATTCATCTCCATCATCATCACTGTCAGGAAAAAGATCCAAATCACAGTCATCTAAATTCACATTATCTGCGATTTCTTGAAGTTCAGTCGCAGTCAGCGACCCTAAAAATAAAAAAAATATATTTTAAAATACACTACCATTTAGGACCCAAGATATCACCAATGATACCTTGTGTTTAGGGCCAAAGAACTATTGTATCTATCATCAATTTATCACAATTTCAATTTTAACATTAAAATGCACTGATCGTACACAGAAACATGCTAAATATTATGTACTTACTTTTATTATTGATGATTTTTTTAGTGTCTGGCATGACGTATTTACTTACAACAAAAGTCTGACTAAAACTTTTAACTCATTTCAATCGAGAACGAGAAGTATGCCATGGCACATTTTTTTACGCATAGTAGATGCTTAACATAGATAAAGAATATATATTACCGGATGACGCTTAACACGGGTGACACTTACGGGTACAATAACTGCGTTTGCCGTCGAATGCGAAAAGTAATTTGTTAAACCGTAGTGTCATATGATACCTGGGGTCCGAGGAGGATATTGAGTTATGCTAAAGAAGATCAATAGCAAAAACCTATATTATTGGATGTTCAGAACCAGAAAGAACTGTCAGCGAGTAACAAATGCAATAAAACGACTTAAGATCAATAAATCACGGAGCCCAAATAACACACAGTCCGAAATTCTAAAACTATTTAAAGATGGATAACTCAAACTCTTAACAAATTTACTTATCAAACCAATAAATTTCCTAGGGACTGTTTAGTTTCCAGCTTCATTCTTCTTCCTAATGCTCCGATTACAGGATTATAAGCTTAATGCATATACTTAAAATTATTCTTGATGTGATTCATTCTCGCATATATAGAAAACTTAAACGAAAAACATTAGTAATGTCAAATTTAGAATCGGACTCGAAACGCGAAAACCATTGTTTCCATTACATATTTTGGTACAAAGAGTTCAGGATGTAAATAGCGATTTCTACGCATGTTTTATTGATTTCCAGAAAGAATTTAACAAAATTCAACATTACAATTCAAATATTAAAGGAATCTGGTATCGACGGCAGACATTTACTCCCAATCAGAAACTTGAACCTACAACAAAAGTATTTTGTATAAATTGGGAATGAAATCTCACAAGAACTTCCAATAGAGCAGGGAGTTCGTCAACGCTGTATTAATCACCAACATTATTCAATACGTATTTTAAAACGTTGTTTAGAAAAGCTAGCAGAGGAAAAAGAGAGGAAATAAAAATCAATGGTGAGAGCACAATATCAACTTACGATATGCAGATGATACAGCTATATTGGTTCATAATGCCGAGGATCGGCAGACACTAATATAGAGCGAGTTCTCGAAGCAAATATCTATTACTAGCACGTTTCTTACTACTAACACCATATTACTTTTACATAAAAGTATCGCTTTCCTTCTGCTGTACATTATCTGGCCCAGTCTGTCAAGTACCTCATTTTAACACTAACATCTGTTCATTCATATGATGACAGTCTTCTCTAGATTCTCTAGATAATATTCAATAGATCTAAAGAAATACCTGAAAACATAATATAGGTAGTATAGCTCTATAGATAGTAAACGAGTTACAAAAGAAGGATCTAATCAAAAAATAATACAGCGAGAAAAAAGAAAAGTTGTTAAACTCTGGAAATGGCATGTTTAAAATGAAGAAAGATAAACAGATATATTTTGTGCAATTAACAATGATTAAACAAATGTTATTAAGTTTGAAATAGAAGATATAGATGAAGTGTGGTTAAAACTTGGACAATGATATAATGGTCAAAATATTACTTAAATAACGTGAAGAAAAAAGAAGAAAATAGACACATAATTGGTTGTAACATGGATCCAAAAAAATGAGATATTAAAATAATAACTGAACAAGAATATATGAACTGAACAAAAGTAAGTTGCTGAAGAATTTGGTAGAGACGCTAAAAGATTACACAAGAGAATAATATGCAGACCAAGCAAAAGTTGAAAAAATACCATAGAAGAATTGAGAGCAAAAAAGAAGTAAAAGTTTAGAAGAAATGAATAATTCGACAAAGGATCTAAAAGCGTTGTTTTCTGTTCTGTGCTCAAAGCATGGAGAAAATGGATTAGGAACTAAAATAGATAGTTTCGATACCTCTAATGTATACAAGCAATGCAATGAGGAAGAAATTGCAACTGTATATTTTTGAAGCGAAGCTTCTATACTAGCGTTGTATTACTTTTTTCTCTATAGTAAAATGCTGAGGCGAGCGTCACGGAACTATTTTAACTATATTATGTATTAGTAACCAAAACAATAATTTACAATAAAATTTCTAAATAAGCAACTATATTTTTTATTATTTGAAAAATATCAGGCAGTTTACATGCTTATATAAACTGATCATACCAGTACACACGCATATATTGAATACTATGCTGAAAAGAACATCGAAAAGAAATTATTGAATAACAACGGTTATATTGGTAAAGCTCTATACTATTTGATAGATTATATTATTATTTATAGATTCTAAAAATCTCCTCTTTTGGACAGTCTAATGAATATCCGTTATAAAATAACTATTTTATTATTGCAGTAACTGAGTAACTCGTTAAAAGGATCTTGGAACGTCATCTCGGAACTGGTGATTATTCCCATCTTTAGGAAAAATCCAAGCATGTATATGCCACGACCTTGATTACGCAATACATGACGTCTGTGAAAACGAATCATGGGATTCCACCCCCACTCCTTCTCATTTTGGCAAACCTTGTTATAAGGAAGATTCCACTCGACAAGGTTAAGGTTTAAAAGTTAATTCTAGATAACGCGTTTTATTGAAATTAAGGTTTGTTAGGACTAGTTAAGTAGCTGTCATAGTTTTGTACCATATTTTTATTAATTCCTTTGTTTTGCACGTTTTCTACACAATCCAATAAATCGCAACCATGTCAGTTAGTAAGTAATCATTATGAGTAATTTTTTTGTTGATTGCACCATCTATATACTAATTATCTAAGATTTAAAATTGAGTTTTAAATATAGATATATACGCATACATTTTATTTTAGCCACAATGAACGAACCTCCTAGAATTTACTATGAAGAAGAAAGTCAATCCGACAAACTTCTCAGGAAATCTAAAGAAACACCCGTTTTTCCAATTGGTGAGTATGCTTTTTGATTTAAATTATCAGTAGTGATATTTACAGACCGAGACTAGCTAAAACAAAGTGCCTAATGGGAGTATTTATAATAATGTTCTTACATCCATGTGCAAGGTCAAACTACACAGACTCAGTCCAAGTTTAATTTTTAATTGCAACATCATGTCTTAGATACATTATTTAGCCCAGACTATTTTCTCTTCCTTAGTAATTTTGTTCAATAATATAAAAACCTTTCATTTAATGAATACATACTTGATAACTAAGTTTTTTAAAAAGTCTTCAAACATATTTGTCATTGGTCTTAACAAAAAATGTATTGATGTATAGTATAGATGTGATCCTTTTTATTCCTTATGAATCATAACAAGCTTTTCTGTCTTCCATACTTTTGGCCAAATTGATCGCCATACAAATACAATATTATCTACAAACACTGTTCTTACCTTACTTGGTTACCTGTATGGTTCGTTGTCTATCAGAGATCATCAACTGATTCTGAACACCAGGTAGGCATTACTTCACACATATTTTCTTTATCTCCTTATGTATGCATTATTTTTAACTTTAATTTTCTTCTTACTTAACTTTCTGGCCAGTGTATTCTCTGGTTTAGTATCATCCATTGTCTCCATATCATGCATTACTTTCTCTGAGTAGCAACATCATTTTACCAACGCCTTCCACTTTGTCTTTGGAATACCTTATCATACCCAGCAACCATAAACTTTTACAGACATCGATATTGTACTCATTTTCATCCAATTAGCTCAATTTCTGTAAAATTACCTCTTCCAATGTACCATACCTTCTGTCGATATATTCCCTCCAGTGGCCAATATTATTTCTGCTCTGTTTTCTTACTCTTGGCTGCCATCTCAAACAATATGCCCCAGTGGTTTCTTAGGTTCTCTTCTTTCCCCATTGTTCAACCTTCTCGCATTCCTTGTCAAATAGAAAGAAACTATCTTCACATCTATGACGAGAGTCCAAATTGCCTCATACAAAGGTATTCATACTTTCTTCATTCAAGGTAACCCTTAACAGATAACAGTGTACTGCCTGCCCTTGTGCTATTCTTTATTACATTGTATATATGCTGTCTATATTGTTACTTAGATTAAGGAACAAAAAATAAAATATCACAGATTAGGTGTTTGTTAAAAAAATGCTAGACAAAGATGCATTCAAATGATCAAGATAAAAATAAACAAATATAAATGATAGTGTTTCTTGATGAGAATAGGAAAAGGTAGAGAAGGCTGACTCAATAGAAAAATGTGTGTCCCTAATGAATCACTGATCATCTGAAACATCCCTTATTTGGAATTTTTTTCAACAATGTACCTACGAGAACCTGAAGAACACAGCATCCAGGCTATAGCTCTTCCAAATATATCTTGGAGAGACTTGAACACAATATTAGTGGTTCACCAGGACCTGTCAAATACCTTGTCCTCATTCTGTAGTTGATTACAATGAAAACATAAATTACAATATATATATATATATATATATATATATATATATATATATATATATATATATATATATATATATATATATATATATATATATATATTGTATATAGATACATTTGACCAGAAGCTATTAAGTTATAAGATAGACTCACAGTAAAAAGTGGTGGCTTCATATATTATATAATGTATTAAATGCTACATCATAGTCAGTCATAAAGCATGCCCCATCTATGAATTATTAAACTTATCTAAACTAAAGCTTTTAATCTAAAATAAAACAGTTTCGCAGTACTGTTATTAATGGATTATTGCGAGACCAAGATGTTTCTAAAAAAAAGGTCACCTAACCAAATGCCATCAAAAAAAAATACAAATCAAAAATACTCTCATTCATTTGCTACTATATTCTACACATTATCTTGTGTTTTTACAGATTGTTTGGAATTTCCAAATCTTTTATTGATAATGTAGTAAATCTGATTTACTAAGGTGTGTCTGATTCATTTTCAAGTGATGTATATAATCTTATTTGTGGTAATTTGAGAAATATGTTAGTGATTACTAACTCTTTTTCCATTGCAAATGTGATTAGTTAGTCTCCTCTCTTATTTCGTTCTCTTAAACTTAGTAACTAAGAGTAAAAGTGACGTTTTTGTCTGTGTGTTTACTTAGAATTATTTCTAAGCCATGTTTTGTCAAACCATTATATTTGATGTTCATTTGTGTTATGTTTTACAAATTCCATGAGGAAACTAAGTTCCTGTAGCTGGCTGTATACCATATATCACAAAAAAATTTTGTTAAAATCCTTTATAAAAGGTATATAAAATTGCCTCAAACGGGCTATCACAAACACATTGCAAAACGTTTTCGGATTAAACAATCCATCATCAGTGCAAACCTGAAAGTATATAACCACTTTAATTAAAAAGAACGTTAAATGAAAATGTTGACAAAGGTTAGAGCAAAATGTGGTTAATGTACAACCGTAAGTATTAACCACATTTTGCTCTAACCTTTGTCAACATTTTCATTTAACGTTCTTTTTAATTAAAGTGGTTATATACTTTCAGGTTTGCACTGATGATGGATTGTTTAATCCGAAAACGTTTTGCAATGTGTTTGTGATAGCCCGTTTGAGGCAATTTTATATACCTTTTATAAAGGATATTAACAAAATTTTTTTTTTTTACAAATTGGTTCAGCACATTTCGCTGAAGCCCATGATATCCATTTTATTCCTGTCTTTTTCGTTGATGGCATTATGTATTTTGCTTTACATTCTAGGAGCATTTTTTAATAAACTTTTTAAATGATATCTGCGCTTCATTTATTAGTCAAGGGTTTCGCTTAGTGATAACCTTGGTCCTTCGCAGCCATGTCGTGTACTCTCATGATAGTTTTTCGGGGGGCACTTTAAAGAATTTAATGAACTTGTTCTCCATTGCTTTATTTCATTGAATATTTGCTTGATACATTTACCAGTTGTAAGTGGGGTTAATACATAAGTTATATTTTTATGGGTATTTTTAATCAATTTTGTGAAATAAAAGCTTGTGCGTTCCATCAACTGACATATTTTCCATGAATTTTGCGCTTTAAAAAGTTGTGATATGGTCAGAAGAATTTATATAAATCTGATTGTTTGTTTAATACACTTTATATCACAATATTGTTAACAAAAATACATCTTTTTGTTTTAAAATCCAATCATTAATATGCGTTATAGATAAGCATTTAAGTTAATGTTTGCATTTGAGTGTTAAAACTGATCTGAAACTTTATCACGTCTTGTACTGATTATTGTACTGATAAGTAGTGTTTTAAGATATGAATAAAAGTACCGATATAAATACCCTTATTTGCTTAATATATACCATAAAAATTATATTATATGATTAGAGAAAATAATTAAGGGGCATCTTTTTGTTTTAAAATTCAATTTAGATAAGCACTTAGATTTCATTGGGTTTATGTGGTCTGGTAGATGTTTCTGCAGTCTAACCTGAAAGATCTTATCTATAAAGTGCCTTCTTTATGCATTGTTACATTTTAGGTGATTGGAAATCATCACAGCTATTTTCGTTTTTAATACTGGAGCTCCTTTCTTCTTGTATTATACATCTGAAGTAACAAATGCTCGTCTATTCTAATCACATGACTACTAAATATTGCAACTTTCTGGTCCTAATTGTATTCATTGCTTTCTTTTCTGTTTCATTCTTCCCTGCACATGTATTATGTGTACCCAACTTATATTTTTTAATATTCTTCTGCAAATCCATATCTCAAATCTTTCTAGTTAGTCACTAATTTTTTTCTTTATGGTCCATAGAATGAAAAACAGAAACCACATAGTAGGGAAATAATATTGATTTGAGTTATAAACCAAGGTCACTACTGCATAACACTTTTCTGTCTCTGGCTGCTTGTGCTGACACTATCCCCTAGTAGCGTTACATATATCACATGGCTCCTCATAGTATGCTGTCTATCTATTTTGCAGCTTGTTGCGTCTATTCTTTTTTAAATAATCGGCCTTGTAATTGCCTTGTAGGTGTTCTCGAATGCCCCCTTTGTATTGAGAAATACTCTTAATATTACCTCTTGGTTTTCCAGAACGCAATTAACCCTCTGTACGAGATGGTTCGGTACCGTTTTCGTACAGAGTCCTGCTTAGTAAATTATTTTCGTACTTTGACATTGGCAGTTTGATCTAAATAGAGATGTTACTCTCATATGTTTGTTATCAATATGTTTATGTCTAAGTACGTCTTAGAACAACAAGTATCTCTTAAGTAGTTATATCAGATGATTATCTATATATAGCTTTATCAAACAAAGTGGTTGATTAACATCCATGCATCAATGTTGCTGTTTTTCTATGTCTTCTATTAAATTCCTTTGTACTCCCATTTGTCTCCTAATATCGTCATTTCTTATGTGTTCTAACCGAGATCTTGCGGCTCTCCTACAGAAGTTTGTATGATTTAATCTGGCTGTATGAATGATCTTTCGAAATATCATGTTTCTGTAAAGACTTAAATAATTCCTTTAAATTATAGTAACCAGATTCACAGCTCGGATTTTTATGTATACCTAGGGTGACCATATGTACTTTTTTTAGTAGGACAGTACTTTCTTTTCAAATGCTGTCCTATTGTACTTTAAAATTTATGAAGTACACCTAAATGTACTCTTTTTCTTATTTACACAAAATTAAGTCCTACTTTTTGTCCAAACAAAATATAATTATGGTTCGAATTGATTCAAGAATCGATCTTTTGCGGAAGAATCAGAATCTCCTATCTTTAGCAGCAATCGATCGGCTCAGGAGTCACAGGAGTGACTCTCGTCGCTGCGTCATCGTCTAGTTTAGTTTAGTACCGATACGCCCATCTCCCTCCCATCACTGTCGATTTCATTTCGCAGCAAGATCTTATTATCTTATTTATTTAGTAAAAATATATATCTCGTGGTATGTTTATGTTTATTTGTTACTTGTGCGCTCACTGTTGA